TCAGTGGCATAATGGCGTAGAGCGCGTGATCGGTTATGCGAGCAGAACGTTATCCCCAGTGGAGAAAAACTATTCTGCAACCAAAAAGGAATGCCTTGCTGTTGTCTGGGCCATAACAAAGTTCCGCCCATACTTGTATGGCTGCCCATTCAGGGTAGTTAGCGACCACCATTCCCTTTGTTGGCTCGCAAATCTCAAAGATCCCTCAGGTCGTCTAGCACGATGGAGCCTTCGGCTACAAGATTTCGATGTCACCATCGTCCACAACTCTGGGCGGAAACACACCGACGCCGACTGTCCCTCACGTGCACCGGTCGAAAATGCCAACACTGTTCTTGAAGACGACACTTTTCTTTCTGCCGTATTGGCACCCCGCTTGGCTGAGCAACAGCGTCACGACTTGGAGCTCATCCCGCTCATTGACTACCTGGAAGGACGCAATTCCCACCCTCCTCAAAGCTTTGCACACTCACTATCCTCCTTTTGTTTCCACGATGGAGTGCTTTATAAAAAGAACTTTCATCCTACACAAGCTATGTATCTGCTTGTTTGCGCCAACTACGCTTCGTGGTGACATTTTACGTGCATGTCATGATGAGCCATCGTCCGGACACATCGGCTATACTCGCACGCTGCACTGGATTCACCGCTCCTACTACTGGCCACGTTTCGCAAAGACTGTGAATCACTACGTTCGCAAGCACTACGTTCGCACATGCCGCGACTGTCAGCGACGTAAGATTCCACCTTTACGACCAGCGGGACTACTGCAGCCAATAGGCCCACCAAAGGCGCCCTTTTGTCAGATTAGCATGGACTTGCTGGGGTCGTTCCCCACGTCTTCGTCTGGAAACCAGTAGATTGTGGTCGATACCGGCTACTTGACACGCTACTGTGAAACCAAGGCACTTCCAAAAGCCACTGCAGCAGATGTCATGGTGCTCCAGCTGTCGTCATAACTGATCGTGGGACAGCTTTCACCGCAGAGATGCTGCAAGAAGTCTTGCGATTAAATGGCACGAAACATCGTAAAACAACCATCCGCAAGCAAACGGGCTGACTGAACGACTCAATAAGACAATCGCGGACATGCTGTCAATGTAAGTGGACATCGATCACAAGAACTGGGACGCCATACTTCGCTACGTAACTTTTGCGTATAACACTGCTGATCAAGAAAGTACCGGCTTCACACCTTTTCGCTTAGTCCATGGTCGCGAGGTCACGAGGATTCTCGACGCCATGCTCCTGCCCGACAACTTAGGAATATACCACACGGATGCCGCCAAATTCGCGCAATGTGCAGAAGAGGCCCGTCAACTTGCTCGTCACCGTATTCAACACCACCAAACTGCAGACGCGAGCCGCTACAATCTTCATCACCGTGAAGTCATTTTCAAGCCTGGTGATGAAGTCTGGGACGTCACTTACGAGGTTCTCCTAGAAGGCTCTTCGAGACGTTCCCGTTTCACACTGCAAATTGAAGTCATTCACATTTCATGGCTCAAACCACACTTTTCGCGCTGTGAATCACCAGTGAGTGACTGACTTTATTGGTAACTTCGCGTCTTTCTACATTCTTTCCTATTTTTCTTATTTCTTATTTACCTCTTGACTACACAACCAACTACGTTATTCCGCCTTACACCATTAATTTTGCTTGCCTGGTAATTTTCATCTCATTTTCTCTTTTTTTGCCTTCATGTACAGCATCGAGATGATGCTTCTTGGGAGAGGGGCTAATGCCATCATTGATGAACGAGCCGCTGTGGCTCGTTCGCCTCGTTTTGGGCTGCGAAGAAAAAGAGAACATTTTTTTTGCTCTGGTTCAGGTGAACTCCTGGCTGCAGGTCTTGTTTTGCTCGTGACAATATCATACCACTATATTGACTACTGGCGCACAAAATGAACATCAAGCGTAATTTAACAGATAAGTTGTGTCCGGCAGCTAAAGTTGCTGGCATGCAGCCGGCCGGAGTGCATCCGTCAACGCGTTTTACGGAGGCGAGACAGTGAGCTAACAGCGCCACCACAGAGCTACGGTGGCAAACAGCAACAGCCATCATTGCAAAGGCCGTAAGGGAGGCGTGGAGAAGAAAGTCGAGTCCGGCCATGGCTCAGATAGACCAGATCCCGCTGGAATAGTCGTGTGCACAGAGGTAGATGCTTTTCCAGACACTCAATATGAGTAACATTTAATTTTTAAATTTGTCTCTGGTTTAACAACTACCAGTTCAAATTCACCCCTTAAGAGTGCTTTTAAGCAAGGAATTGTCGATGTCTTTGGCCACCCCGAGGTACGCAAGCTCCGTGCTGGACAGCGTCTACAGGGGCGTGAGCAGCTGCAGGGAGAAGGCTTCACAAGCTACATCCAAGACGTGCTCAACTTGTGCAAGCGCCTTAATCCTTTGATGGGCAAGGCAGACAGATTTGACCCATCTTGAAGGCATAGAAGATGACGCCTTCTACACGCTGCTGGCCAAGGACTCACGTACAGTGTCTGAACTTGCCACTCCATGCCAGAAATTCGAGGAGCTACGGAAATAACGGGTCTTGACACGGCGGCCAGCAGCTACAGATAAGGACCATATTATACCTTTTTTAGCGCACACAAAAAACGGGACAAGAAAGATACAGACGAGTGCTAACTCTCGACTAATTTATTTTTGAAAGGAACAGAACATACAGTAAGTACCTGGGAACCAGCTCATTGCCTGTGCAAGTTATGTGACAGGCAAACCTAAACAGATATAGCTAAACAGAATTTAAAAAACTACTTTTTATCTGTTAGAGCCACCGAAGGCCGACTAATACATTCGTTTGTACACCTACTTATATAGCAAACTTCTGTAAGTTCACGTGTTAGTTTATCTCTATGTGAGAACAAAATACCTGTATCGCGACACACGGGATCACAATGGCATGATTCACAATGATATGACAAGTGTCGAAATGTTTCTTTTCCTAGTGAGTTAGCATGCTCTTTTAGTCGTGTATTGATGCAGCAGCCAGTCTCCTATGCAAACATTTCTACAGGTTAGTGGTATCAGATATACCACCTTTTCTCGACATTTTATGAACTTTGATTTTTCTTAAAGGCGACAGCTACATTTTCTTTCTTCTATTTGTGATCTCGTGTTTTGCGATACAGATATTTTGTTCTCACATAGAGATAAACTAACACGTGAACTTACAGAAGTTTTCCATATAAAATGTGTACAAACAAATGTATTAGTCGACCTTTGGTGGCTCTAAAAGATTGGGAGTACAGTTTTTTAAATTCTGTTTAGCCATATATTTTTATGCTTGCCGGTCACATGACTTGCACATGCGGCGTGCTGGTTTCCAGGTACTTACTGTATGTTTTTTTCCTTTCAAAAATAAATTAGTTGAGAGTTACCGCTCATCTGTATCTTTCTTGTCCTATTTTTTGTGCATGCTAAAAAAGTTATAGTATGGTTTCATCTGTAGCCCCTACTTATTGCAAAGAAAACAGTGGCTCTTTCCCTTTACATTTTGTCCATCTGGTACTATTGACTGCCCTGCAGACTTTCCCGGTTCTCTATCCTCTTTGCTTCTTCTAAGGTTGACCAGACCCTGTGCTTGGAGCTAATGGTCCGCAGTCTCCGCAAGCTTGTCTGGACCTCTGCAGCTTCTTTTTTTTTTTCAAGAATACCGACAGATTCTACCGACATCACTGAAGAAACTGTTCCGAAATTATGATATCCTGGAGGTCCTGTAAGTACGCTCCGTCTATGCCATTTGCTGCCAACAGCCAAAGTATCCGGCGAGCCGAGCAGCAAACTGTTTCCCGGTTTCAGAGTTCTCAGCTGTGGAATTTTGGAACTTCACCCTTGATACTTCCTCGGTGTATCGAAAACGCAGTTAGAGGGTGTGCTTTAGCTTAGCATAGTCTAATGCTAAGGGGGGGGGGGGGGGGAGTATGTAGGTAAATTAACACAACTGGAGCGTGAAACAGGTGCCTTTTATTGCAACCCAAAACATCAAACAAACATGCGACATCACTTCATTTTGGACAGTTCATCAATGAGTAGCACAGTCGCGCTTAAAGAAAAATGCGGGTGAGGGTTTCGCGGATCATAGAAATGGCTTCGCGGACCCGCCTTTGAGAACTACTGGTCTAATGTGTAGTCCTTTGCCACCAGACTTACAGCGCCCACTACCTCTCTCCTCACAAACTGAGAGATGGAGTCGATTTATCGGCTGACCATCCTTGACTGTTGGCCACTCTCTCAAATGGCTGGACATACGCATCACACTCATCTCTTGCCTCGCGACAGATGAGTTTGCTCATCGTTATCAGCCCTAGCAAAAAGTGCACATAATGTCTTACAGGTGTGTAGCGGGCACACAAATTACCAGTAGAATGACGACTGGCATATTGGGTGCTTTCCTACTTCATAAATGTCACAGTGGACGTATAGTGGGTACCATGCATGTGTTGTGCCACGACTTACATATGGTGGGCGTATAGTAGTTACCTCGAATGTGCAGTACCGGACAATGAACAACACACACAACATACAAGCCTGACCCTAAGGTGCTTTGCTTTCAAAACGGGCGAGCACATATACCTGCAAAGTATAAAAAGAAGTAAACTGAAGCCTGCAACTCTCGGTGACCTAAAGCAGTTGTGCACCACTCAGCCACAGCTAGCAGTCCAGCGAACACCCTGGAAGAGAGGATCATTACGTTATGCCACACATTTAGGCGCAAAACATTCGGCAGTGACTGGTAGTTTGTAGCCATAAATGTTGCTTGCATATCTTTGACAAGCTTTTGCGAAAACAAAGAGTTGAGAGATTGTTCACCAATTGACCTGCTATATATATATATATATATATATATATATATATATATATATATTTTTTTTCATTAGACATTCGTGAATTTTACTCAAAATGACTTTATTAAAGCGCCATGTTAACTATTCCAAATTGGAGCTTAGCTGTAAGTAATAACACAAGAGGGACTGCAAATAAACAAGCAAAACAGTTTATTAAATGTGTGTGCCAAATGCAGAAAGACCATTTACTGAAATCGCTGTGAACGCGGTACCAGTCCAGCAAAGGGTCTAACGAGAGTGCAACTTGAAGTTGGCAGTCTGGGGCTGCCGCAGCTGCATGCAACCTGTGCCCAGAGGCACCACCCGGCCCACCACAAGACGAGCGGATGGAGAGTTGAGTTGGTCTTTTGTACCTGAAACAATAGTGATCAGTGCAGACGTCATCACATACAGCCAGTGTATCTGTGATCGAGCCCCACAATAATGCACTCAAGCGGAAAAAAAGTAAAGTACAGAGAATGTAATTTGAGCCAAGTAAACAGAACATTCATAACGATTCCTTCCCATATCATACTCAGAACAGGTCTGCATAATGATCGGCCTGCTTTCTCATTTTTTCTTTTTCATAAGTGAACTGCTATAATGCACTATTTAATGCATGCCAGTCTAGTTCAGAAAGATTTCAACTGCAATGTGTGCTGGTACAGTTCCATCTCGCCAACAGCCACCACTTCACTTTTCAGTTCATTACCAACTTGCAGATTTGCATGACTGGGTAAGTCTATCCAGAATCATATTCCTTCGATTAAAATGGGTATTTACTATACAGAGCTTGTTACATGCATTATAATAGCATCATTTCGAGGCTCACTTCAAATAACACTGAAGTGGTTTACGATAAGAAATTTATAAACAGGGCTTCGACAAGTCAACTCGTCTTCTACAAGGATGGAACTGATTTTCTTAACACCAGTTTTGCGAAGTCAAAAATACCGATCTGCAGCAGGAGCCCTTGGATGTCGCTGAAAACCGCTAAACTCAACATTTGTGCCAGTTAAGTATGCAAAAAAAAATGATAATAATAAACACAAAGTTATCTGCTCTAATATAACAGAATGACTTCTTCAAGCTTAGACAATGCAACAGCGTAAAAATAGGTAAAACAAAACAGGATACAGTGTTACAGTGAAGGAAATGACTTATCTTTTTGGAGCACACATACTTTGAAGCAGCCATAAGTGTTTGTTTTTAGAGCGGAAAAAATGTTAGTTTAGAGTAGCTAATGATGTTTTAGGAGCAAATGTAAAATTTGCCATACACATTAAAGAAGCCCTGGAACACTTTTTGAGCATGGTGAGAAAACGCTGCCAATCAGCAGTAGAGGCTCGTGAGAACAATTGCTTTCTTTTCTCTGAACAAATGAGGCTACAGGCTCGAAAATCCCCAAGTCTCTGGCACAGTATCAGTCATTCGTCGTTACTAGGGTCATCGCAGGAGGCTGCTATAAGTCTAAGCGTGCACGTGTGATGCCAACGGGAAGCTGCACATTCGAAGAAAAGAAGAAAGAAAAGTGCTCAAGGCGCATGATGTACATTAGACTCATTTTAAGCAAAACCTGAAGGAATGAGGAAAATGTGTTTCCTTTAAGAGGATTTCTGTTTACTGAGAGATAAACAGGGGTATATTACTCAAGTACAAAAGCAAACATGTTAGTAGCAATGTTCCATTTAAGCAGCAATTTCATTTAAAAGAGTTTCGTTTAATAGGAGCCTACTGTATTTTCATTCCCTGTGTCATCTTTCCAAGCTTAGCACTTTCAATGGGGCGAGAGAAGACAGAATGCAGTTGCAGTGTGCAACAAATCTTTGTAACTCTGCCAGGGTTCGTACAGGTTCCCCCCCTCCCAAAAAAATCAATGGTAATTAAAGACTTTCGAGGACCTGTGGCAGGTTTTTCAAGAACTTAAAGCGCATTTTAAGTTGTCTTAAATTCTCAAGAACGACCAATTTTTCACACTTGTAATAAATGAAGGGATATCACAATTATAAAAAAGAAACATATGGTCTTGATTACTTCTCAGATAACCAGACACAATAAATGTTTGTTCTATAGAGAAACCAAAAGAACCAGGATATCGTGGGAAACAACAATAGTTTAGAGAAATTCGATGTGCTACCAGTAACGACAGGGGAAGTAAGGAAAGCCCTAAGAGGCAAAGTCACTAGTAAGGATAAGGTAACAACGGACCTCCTGAAAAATGGTGGAGAAATCTTGTTAAAAAAACTGGCCACCTTATATACGAAGTCTCTCTAGACAGAAAGGGTACCAGAACCTAGGAAGAAGGCCAACATTATCTTAATCCATATGAAAGGAGACATTGAGGACTTGAAAATTTACAGTCCGATCAGCTTACTATCCGTTCTCTGAAAACTATTTATAAAAATAATAGCTAATAGAATTAAAGTGACCTTAGAGTCCAATTAACCAAATGGCCAAGCAGGATTTCACATGGGCTACTCCACAATATACTATATTTATACTCTAAATCAGGTAATAGAGAAATGCGCAGAATACAACCATCCCCTATACATAGTCTTCATAGATTACGAGAAGGCGTTTGACTCAGTCAAGACATTAGCAGTAATTCAGGCAGTGCGAAATCTGGGCATCGAAGAAGCTTACATAATAATACTAGATGAAATCTACAGCCACCGTAGTTCTCCATAAAGAAAGCGACATAATCCCAATAAAGAAGGATGTAAGGCAAAGAGACACGATCCCTTCAATGCTATTCATCGGGTGTTTACAGGAGGTTTTCAGGACCCTAGATTAGGAAGAGTTATGAATTAAAGTTAAAGGAGAGTATCTCGGTAACCTGCTATTTGCTGACGACATTGCATTGATGAGTAACTCAGAGGACAAATTACAGCTCAGGACTACTGAACTGGACACACAAAGCAGAAAAGTAGATCTGAAATATATTATGCACAAAACTAAAGTACTAATGTGCAGCAGTGTTAGCAGAAAACAGCGCTTTGCAATGGCTGGAGAGATGCTGGAAGTTGTAAAGGAATATGTCTACTTAGGGCAGGTAATAACAGCAGAGCCGAACCACAAGAGTGAAATAACTAGAATAAGGATGGGGTGGATCACATCCGGCAAGCATTCTCAGATATTTAATGGTAATCTGCGACTAACCCTCAAGAGGAAGGTATCTAACAGCTGCATCTTGCCAGTACTTATTGACGGAGCAAAAACCTGGAGGCTTACAAAGAAGGTTCCGCTCGAAATTGAGGACGGCGCAGCGAGCGATGAAAAGGAAAATGATAGGTGCAACCTTAAGAGACAAGAAGCGAGCAGAGTGGGTCAGGGAACAAACCAGAAGTACATTTTCGTCCAAACTCGGTATATGATTCGGACTAGTTTTTTGGTGGCGAAGCAAAGCCGGGTCTGTTGCTTCGCGAGGATGATCACCACAGTCTTCATGACTTTTCCTCTGAGGAAGACGCCTTCACCGCTGGACGTTTTACTGATACAAGTTTATGTACACAACTGATTACAATGCAAAAAATGACAGCAAAAAACTATGACCCGCAGTGGGGCCTAAAGCGGTCGTGCCGGTGTCTAGCCGGCAGGCTCCCCTAGTAGCAAAAGACCCCTCGTCTTTTCTCGGGCACTCCTTTTATCACCCCCGTACTTGTTCCCCTTGGTCCTCGTCGAAACCGGACAGGTAGTTTCATGGAAGGAGCAGGTGAGGCAGAGGAAGCCGAGGCGCCATTTCTCGGGAATGCATCAGGCAAGCAAGGAAGGGGGTGTCACGCAGAGCCAGCTTCGTTTCTGGAAAGGCGTGTGACCAAGAAGGAAGGGGGCGGGGGATGTCACGCCGAGCGCGACTTTACGCCGAGGTTAAGGATATAATAGTTGAAATCAAGAAGAAGAAATGAACATGGGCTGGGCGCTATTCCCAGGGAAGGCAAACCCATGAAGGGGAGACAGAAAATTAGGTGGGCCGATGAGATTAAAAAGTTCGCAGGTATAACGTCGCAACGGAAATCACAAGGTTGGGTTGATTGGAGGATCATGGGAGAGGCCTTTGCCTTGCAGTGGGCATAGTCAGGTTGATGATGATAATGATGAATGATTTAATATTTACAAAAGTGGTTGATATTTCTCCAGTATAGGCTTTAAGTTCACCAACTATATTGAGAGCATTCATTGCAGCATTATTGAACTTATATAAAAATAAGTAAATGGATATGAGTGATGTTGATGATTAGCCACAATGACTGCAAGCGGTAAACAGTACAAAGAAAGCTAACATTACACATTGAATCCTTACAACAGCAGTTAAGATTTCTCCAGTATCAGCTTTGTGATTTTCACTAAACATATTCAGAATACTCAGGGTGATGCTATTTTACTTACACAAAGATAAATTAATGCAGTCGAGCCCACATATAACGGCCCCACTTAAAACGAACTTTTGCTTAAAACGAACCATATCTGCGTGACTGTGAAAATATACATTGTTTCAGTGATACAAAATCGCACTTACAATGAATGTCTCCGAGCGCCGCCGATCGGTTACAGCGAATAGAGTCGGCGCTCTGCTGACTTCCCGGGAAACCACTTTCGACCATGAATGAGGCATCGGCGAGGTGCCCATAGATTCTTATTGTTGAACGCCGACCCTGCCTCCGCGCCCTCTAGTTGCCGCTCTCCCCGACCGCTTTTTGTTATGCACCCCTTCGTCCTTTGTCCCCCCGCTACTCTAAGCACCCCGCATCCATCGCCAGACGCGGCCCTTGTTTTCACACTGCCACCTATCTTTGGAAGACCGCTGTCATTCCTGTCAATGCTGTCATTTTTCATTACAATGAAAAAATGACAGCAAAAAACTATGACCCACAGTGGGACCTAAAGCGGTCGTGCCGGTGTCTAGCCGGCAGGCTCTCCTAGTAGCAAAAGACCCGTCGTCTTTTCCTGGGCGCTCCTTTTATCTGCCCCGTCCTCGTTGTCAGTGGCCCTCGTCGAAACCGGACAGGCTCAGCATGCCCTTCGCACGCGTGTGAAAGCGTAAAAATGGCTGTTACTTTGCGTGGAATTTATCACAAAATATCGAAGTCATAGAGGCCACACAACCCCACTGGCACAACAAAACGGTTCTTGTACCACTGGCGCCAATTCTTTGAACACCACTGCGCGCGCCGATCCAGGCGGCCATGCTTAGACCTCTGCGCGCGCAGGCACTTTTTCAATTTTTTATACACTCAACTTGCGCATTTCGCAGACATTTCAAGCAAGCCGACGTGCCTTCTTCCAGTGTGTGTTGGTTTTCATGGTCGCCTTCCCGCCGTATTTTTCCTTATCTTCACTCTATCGCAACTCTTTGCCCTTCTCTCGCAAATGGGCTCCTCTCTTGACACAACTCCTTCGCCCGTCTCCACAGCTCCACGACACCAGCCACGCTGACTCGAATTCAGAAGTTTTTTTTTTTTCGACTAGAAACGGGCCCAGAGCTGTACCACACGTTCTGGCATGTGTGCTGCGTGTGCCCGTCTTGCTCACTCTGGGTGTGGGAGTGTGGTCAGGATGGCCGATGGGAGGCCTTGCACGCTTTTTCCTGCCGCTCAACAAAACGTTGGAAGTGTGACCACTTGGCTTGCGCATCATCCGCGTGTTAAGTGCTGCATTGTGGAGCGCTTGCTCATAGCTGTTGTTCATTTGGCAGCCAATTTGCCGCTTCGGGCGTCCCGGTATTCAGCTGAGGAGATGGTGAATATTTCGTGGGTGGCGGATACGGCTACATGCGCGCGAAACTGTTTTCGCAAGGTCAACTGTTGTCGGGCCCGATGCTGAGCCTGAAGCTTCCGATGAGGGCCACTGCGGCGGCAATTTGTGGCAGTGCGTCGTCGATTCCGACTTGGGAGAGCGGGTGGGACATCTGTTGGGATGGCTTAATTACGACTGATGATGATGCCAACACCGCGAAACCGTGCCCGGATTAGGGCGTTGTGAATTAGCTACAAGGCAAGAGCGATTTGGAGGAATCGGATTGGGAGATGACGAAACTTTGTAGTCAGTGCCTCATGCAGCTTATGCCACGAGACTCGCCAAGGAGCACGCTGCGGTTTGAAATAACCTCGAGACCGCCCATATCACTTCTGCTTTTCGAAACACATGCATCACGAACATTTTTGGGCAAAAAATTGTGTTTTCACTCACAACTTTTTTAAAAGCTGTGTTTCATTTACTACGAACTTCGTGATACAGCAAACGAATGCTGCGTCAGGCCCAGGTTCGTTATAAGTGGGCTCGACTGTATATATAATTTATGCACTTCTGCAAGAAACGCTAGGCACGGTGTTTTGCAGGTCCATGGCGAGTGCGCGGACCAGCACAATGGCGACCCCATAACTTTCAAACATTATAAGTAAAAAGAAACTCGCAACAGGCACATGGGTGTTTTCTTGTTTTTTTTTTTCTCTTTATATGCAGTTTGGAAGGAAAACCTAGAAAGCCATCCGAGGAGTGCGAAGCATTGAGCTTGAGAGGCTAGGTGAGCACGGATTTCGCTAAGCTCCAGGTCTGTCTGGCTGTGTCATACTTCCCAGTGGTAAAATCATGAAAATAAAGCATGAATTTTACGCAGTGACAAGCTTGGTCGATTCAGTTAGCGCTTCTTTCAGCAGGCACTGTACTTCACTTCTTTTTAATGTGTTCATGCTACTTAAACTGAGAATTTGAGAGGTTACCTGGCACAAATGCGGCGCTGGTGTTACGTGCAACTGCTGAGGGGACATTTCTTTATCTCGAGCGTCCTTCATTGCACTTAAGCAGTGTGCTGCAAGTGTTGAGCTGACAAGTGCTCGTTCATGCTCGTCCTGCATGTGTTCTTTTTGTGCGTTTTTTATTATTGAGCAGCACGCTCGAAGTATCGATTTGCTTGCCGTTCTTCATGAAACGCTCCAATTTGTTACTATTTTGCATTGAATGCTTGTCGTGAAACTGACTTTTTTTTCTTTTTTCGTGGAGCTCTGAAAAAAGAAAAAAACCATGCAGGCTCATGATGCATTACTGCTTTTAGAATGGGGAGTTTGTCATATTCACTCGCTGATCTACCATATTAGTGAGGGCACAATGGTGATATGAGTGGGCACTGCTAAGAAAATTTAAAGACTTTCAAGGGTGGGGAAAAATTCCAGGACTTTCAAGGGCCTTGAAAATGCATTTTTCATATTCAAGGATTTCAAGGACCCTGCTTCGCTCGTCCCGAAAGTAACTCTGCTCATCCTGGACAGATTTTGAAATTCTTCAGGCAATGAATTCAGAGAATCCATTCCGTGGCTATTTGGAAAAGTGTTGCAAGGCCCCTTTGAAGTATGTTTCAAATTTTACAGCCCCAGATTTTTTATAACCACTGCTGTACAGTCAAACTTTCAAACCCTCTTTTAAAGTCTCACCCTACTGCACAGTACACTCCCATTTCCACAGTCTGCAAGCAGCAAGAAACCCAAGCTGCAGCGGTGCTCCAGAGTGATCACTGTGTGATTTGTGAGCCTGCAGTGGCTGCGCTTCATCCACTGACAAGCATAGTACATAAAAACTGAGTGGTGGCAAGCTTTGCAGGCTGAGTGTGGTTCATATACAATACCAGCCAGGGTAGCCGACTTGAGAAAGTTCATGGTTGTCTCGAAGGTCATCTGCTGCAAGGGTGAGGCATTGCTCTCCATGGCGATGCGGTTGCATGCACGGTAGCTACCATCAAATGTCATGTAGTCAGCCACTAGCAGCAGGTGCCTCGGATCCACCTCGATGCCGTAGACAGCAAACACGTTGGCCACCTCCTGTGCAGAGCATGTGAAAGCGATTTCTCTCAGACTCTCAGATTTCTCTCACAAGCCACCTCTAAGCGTAGAAATAGAAATGAAAGACAATGAACAGAAAATGTCAATGTGGACAATATTTCAAAAAGTGAACTTGTTTCTGTCAGGGCTGCAACTAAGCACAGGCACAAAAATTTTGCATCTTGTTTTTATGCCTCAATATTCTACCAGGGACTGAAAGAGCGCAAAAGAAGAGGAAGAAAGATTGTCTCGAACAATGGCTATTCGGCAGTGTCAGTTGAGTGCTGGCTTTGCAGTGTAAATAAACCCATCACATTCATAACAGCTTTGGTAGAGCGGTGCTGGGTAATTCGCCGTCTTGGACCCTGTAGCAGAAGACCTTCGAAGAAGCAGACGCTCAGCTGGGCTACCCCCAGACAACATCAGGATGACCGACGACACAGTAATCCCGTTGACGGGCTACGCTGCTGCATCCACCTGTGCCACCGACATGGCACTAGGTGGCCGTCGACCTTAACAACCTAACTACTGGCAGCCTGAACCACGGATATTCTCAGGTAAAACTGATAAAGACGTGGATGCTTGGCTAAAACACTACGGCAGAGTGAGCCTCAACTGTGGATGAGGGGCACCGGCAAAGCTCGTGAACGTAGTATTCTTCCTTGCCAGGACCGCTTTGCTTTGGTTTGAGAACGATGAATATGTGCTCACCACTTGGGATGTATTTGTTGAAGAACCGAAGGCCTGCTTTGGGGACACGAGTTCTATTGAGCTGAGCGAATTGTCTCACATAGGGCTCAGTTGCCCGGCGAAATGAGCACGACCAGAAGGATTTAAGCTTTACGGGATTGTCAACGCAAATATGTCTGACGAAGATAAAGTCGGCCATTTGTTAAAAGGCGTCACTGAGGACGTGTACAATTTTCTCATAACGAAAGAAAACTTGAACACTCGTTCTGCTTTCAGGCGGCAATTTCGTGCATTACAGGCTTTGAAGACCCGGAGAATTTTACCCAAGTTCGGGCACTTGGACAATGTTCCCACTGTTGCAAGTATGGACATCGCTGCCTGCGAAGACATTTCCTTCCTCGTACGTCGGGTAGTTCACGAAGAGCTCGCACGACCTCAAGCAGGTGACGCTCACCACAAATGCTCATTCCTGCGTGCCCCGAAGCACCTCCCTACTGGATGCGAGAGCACCACGTCAAAAACCGCTCGCGCACAGAAACTGCAGATTTTAACCCGCAGCTTCCGTCTTCCCCACTACCGGATGTCCTCATTTCAACGCATCGCTGCGAACCTCTGACCGTCGTCAGCCAGGCTTCTACCAGAAGACTACTATCCACCGTCACAAAATGTTTCTGCAGAGCACCACCTGTCTCCACTCACTTCTGCCACTTCTGCTCCTGCTAATATAAGCCAACCTGCTAATATAAGCCAACATGTCCCCATTTGCTACACATGTGGTCTCCCAAGGCATATTTCATGCTTCTGTCCCATCTGGCCACCTGTGTCACCACGTTTTTCGACGTACCCGGCTCGTATGCACGAAACCTGAACCACTCACCCAGTTGACCACGGTCCCCGACAGCAATAGACTAACAAATCATGCAGCAAGTCCCCCGCATCTGATCGAAGCCTGATGGCAGCTCCGACACATTCCCGCTGGTCGCCGTTTCCGCATCCTCTGTCGCCTTCCCCGCATCAGCTGGAAAACTAGCTGGTGCGACCGATGGCGATGTGGTTGCGTGACGGTCAGTTTCGCCAATTCTTCCTTCTGCTGTGATGTTGATGAACAAAGTGCGTGTGTGTATAGACGCTGTAGATACTCTTGCTTCTGTAGACACTGGTACTGCTATTTCGGTTATGAGTTTTCGTTTCAAGCATCATTTCTTGGGTCACAAAGTTGTGCTCGCGTGGGATCGTAAAGAAACTGTTCGTGGAGTTGGAGGCGGAGCATTACACCTTGTTAGTATTTGCTCAGTTGTACACACGATTGGTGGAAGAAATTTCCGAGTTGAATTCACTGTACTGGCTTGCGCAACTCATGACATCATTTTAGCAGGGGTGTGAGTGGACTTTCGTGTTTTGGAGCAGCTCAGGGAGCAGGAATAATGCTGCTTTAGAGCAGCTTTGGCGCAGTAAAATGGGAGTACTGGAGAAGGTTCGGAGCACCGAAAGATGTGTTTCGGAGCAATGCAAGTTCGTTTTGAATCTTTCTAGGGTCAAACGTCACTGTCAATCGAAACTATTCCTGATAAAAAAATTCCTAGGATTTCCACTAATATTTAGTACTAATCAGCTGACCAGACTTACTATCCACAAATGTGTGTGTGTGTGTGTGCGTGTGTGTATGCATGCGTTTGTACTTCCATCATTAAACATCACAGTTGACAGAGAAATAACTGAAGAAACAAGGGACAAGCAATGCTTATCATGACTAGATATTCACGGTGCACTTCGTAAGTTCGTTATCCCCACCCTAAATAAACAAGCTACTCTGCTCATCTGTGCTCAGTCTAGAGCGAAGTAGAGATGAGCAATTCACAAGACAAATCCGCGCAGATGCTACAGCAAGTCACTTGGAAGCGACGGCATGAGCAGCATAAGCGCGGCACTGCACGCAACTAACCAGGAGATGATCGAGTGCACGCAACCACTATGTATTTCAATGAAACTGTCAGTTGTCACCTAATATAGGATCGCGAAAGAGAAGCGCACATATGTGTCAGGGAAAACCGATCCGTTCTGTCGCTATCTCAGTCACTGCGTATCCCGGACCTTGTAATAGTTTCGAAATGCTGCTTCGCCACTGCGTGCTATCAAAGACCATGCGGGAATGTGAGCCCAGTATCTTTCCGCACTTTGGCGAAAAGGAGGGAAGAAGTCTTTGGTGCATACTTTGGGTGGCATGATCATGCCGCTTTCCCGGCGGGTACTAATTATTGAGGTTTTACTCATTACTGAATGATTCACTCATGTTGGTACCACCACTTTTGTGCAGAAACCACGGCGATAAGAGCCATGAGGCAAGCACTACCAAGCTCCATGAATGAACCGAATTACGTGATCATGATCGAACATGTCATTGAACTACATTAGATATAGTTGCGGCCACGTCCTTTGTGTGGCCAACGCTCGGTGTTGTTCGGTCAACGATAATATTCGGCTAAATTTGGCAGTTTACGCTTCCCATCGACAATTATCGAGGAAATTGCCGTTTATGCATAGCCTGGCGCAGTAGGTCAGATTGCCGCAGAACGATGCAAATGGCGCAGCACTTCCACCCCTGTTTTAGGAATAAACCTCCTTAGTGAATGCGGCACTACGCTTGACTGTGGAACTAGAGAAATTCTTCTACAAAGTACGTTGCACACTGCCACAGTTGACGATTTTCTGACTCTCCCCATTGACATGCTTTTGTTGTCTGAAGATGTGACGATCTCTAGTCAGACAGCAGTGTTTGTTCTCGTATGCTCTTCTCACGTTGACTCGGGATCCTGCACTAGACTTGTCGAGCCCGATCATACAAACGTTATTAAGAAGGATGTGCTAGTCCCACAGTCTATCCTTACAACGATCAACGAACATGCATGTTTGTGGGTGCTCAACGCAGCCTCAGAGCCTGTCGTTCTACCAACCGGATTTAATCTGGGAACATTTGAGAAGCAGACCACAGTTGATGTCAGAATGGTCACAGAATCTCCAGCCATCAGTCAGACTGTGCCTGACTACTCAGCCGAGATGATCAACATGATCAGCATGATCAACAAATCATTGCTTTCTACCAAGCAGTATGTCCTTGAGGAGGTGCTTGCATGCTACGAGGGAGTCTTTAATTTCGCTCAAGATAAACGTTGTCCCATGTTGCCCGAATCCCGTAGGCACCACCGTGTCAACACAGGAGATGCTACACTGACACGCCAGAAACACTATCTCATATCCCCATCGGAAAGAAAAATGATCCCCGACAAGGTCAACGACATGCTGCAGAAAGGCGCTATTCAGGAGTAAAGCAGTCCCTGGGCAGCTCCTGTCATATTGGTAAAAAAGAAAGACAACTCTTGGCAATTTTGTGTTGACTACCGCCGTCTCAACGCCGTCACAAAGACGTGTATCCGCTACCACGCATTGATGATGCTGTTGATTGTCTGCAGTCGGCCGCATACTTTTCGTCTGTCGACCTAAGGTCTGGATACTGACAGATACCAATGCATCCGTCGAAAGAGAAGACTTCTTTTGTCACGCCTGATGGGTTGTTTAACTTTAATGTTATGTCGTTTGGCTTATGTAATTCCCCAGCTACCCTCGGGCGATTCATGGACTCCATCCTCCGCGGTCTCAAATGGGAGATATGCATGTGTTACCTCGACGACGTAATTATTTTTGGCAAGACATTCCATGAGCACAACCAGCCGTTTAGCATTGTTCTAGATTGCGTCAAACAAGCTGGTCTCATTTTAAATGCAAAGAAGTGTCATTTTAGCGAGCGCTAAGCCCTTGTGCTCAGATATCTAGTCAACAGGGACGGTATAGGACCAGATCCGCAAAAGATCAATGCTGTCCGCAACTTCAAGCAACCAAGGACTGTGAAGGATCTTCGTAGCTTTGTGGGCCTGTGTTATTATTTTCGCCAGTATATCAAAGACTTTGCCCAGCTTGCTCATCCACTGACAGACTTGCTCTGAAAGAACGCCCCATTCCGATGGAACATTCAGTGTGAGGCTGCTTTTGAGCAGCTGAAGTATTTGCTTACTTCCGGACCCCTTCTGCGCCATTTCGACTCAGAGGCACTCACAAAACTGCATACAGATGCTAGTGATATAGGTGTTGGTGCCGTGCTAGTTCAGTATCATGATGGCAGCCAGCACATCGTGGTGTATGCAAGTCGTACTTTGACTAAGGCTGAGAGGAATTATACAGTCACAGAACTGGAATGTCTTGCGGTTGTTTTCACTGTCCAAAAGTTCAGACCTTATTTGTACGGCTGACAATTCAAG